AGAGTCATAGAAACAAGGATCTGTTTTACGATAATTAAAAAGATAAAGACGAGGTTTTCATGGAATGACCCTCATGCCAAATGCCTTCCTCAGACGCCTCAGTCACAGTTGGACTCAGCGTTAACATTAAGGGACAAATTCACAATCCCATGAATGCTGAAGAGCAAAAGAGCACATTGCTGACCGGACAAACCTACTGTGGTTCTTCCACTGAAGACTGGTTTGGTCTCTGGGTAACAGCCGTAAACCCACCATGGATCACCAGTGATGATCCTCAACAAGAAGCTTGGGTCAGTTTGACTCAGAGTTTGCATCAATCTGAGGTCTGTGGTAAAACTGCAAATGCTGACTAAACAAGCATTCTGAGTGTAGCAGAGCACTGAAGGGAACGGTGCCTACGTGTAAACTTGTCTTTATGTAAGTGCAGCCTCAGAACTTCTTGATCACGTTAATATTTGATGAAACCTTTTAAACATTAAAGTTTAAACACTGATCTGTCATTTTCCACACAGTCATTAGATTGTATACAGCAAATACCCATTTGTCGTGTGTGTTTAGCAATACGAAGAGTAGGGAGAAAGAAAAATCTGAGAGGACGGGGAGAGTACAACAGTCAGAAAAAGACAAAAAAAAAAAATGCCTGTGATAAAGAGAAGAGAGGACAAAGGAGACTCTGCAGAGGTCTTCAGCATTTTCGCTTAATAAAAAACTAATCAAACCAAACTGGAGACTGGCAGCTGGTTTATATACAGAACCACAAATTCAACAATTCATTTAGGCTGCATCAGAGCAGGGATACGGTCATGGCACATAATTGAACATTTACTCTCATGGATTATGTATGCCAAGGTCAGGAAATGAATGCCCTCAATACATCTGTGTGTGTGTGTGTGTGTGTGTGTGTGTGTGTCCTTCTTCTTCCAGATGTCCTTGTCAGACAGCAGCATCTTTCCTTTATTTCATTAGTGAGTCCTTGAGTCTGTTTTTGTAACGATAAGAGAAATGCTCTGCTGCCAGAACACAAGCACACACACACACACACACACACACACCATTGATAAGGCTCTGCTGCAGCCATATTGCAGCAGGTTCTGGTTGGATGAAAATGTGCTTTTTTTTTTTTTGGATGTCCAAATGAAAGAAAGAAATGCCAAAACCATCCATCCATCTTCCAAAAACCGTTTAATCCTCTGTTGGGTCGTGGGGTGGGTGGGGGGCTGGCCGATCCCAGCGGTCTTGAAGGCAGGGTTCATCCTGGACAACTCAAAATGCCAAAACCAATATATTCTCCAACATGTTGAAACTGATACATCAGCTACTGGAGCCTTTGTTCTTCCACTTTTCTGCTCTTCTTTTAGTGTCCAAAGGGTGGAAAGGTCATATTTATTCCATTAGTATCAAGTTTAAAAGAACAAGTTTAATAGCTGAACTGTGAGTGACGGTGATCGCTAACCTTTTAGAAAATGCTGAAATGTGTACAAAGACATATAATGTGTTGTTGGAACATCCATCCATCATCTCTACACCTTAATCCTCACTAGAGTCATGGGGGGCTGGAGTCTATCCCAGCTGACTCAGGGTGAAGGCAGGTTCACCTGGACAGGTAACCAGTCTATCACAGGGCTACACTTAGAGACAGACAACCAAGCACACTCACATTCACACCTACAGACAATTTAGAATCACCAATTAACCTCAACATGTTTCTGGACTGTGTGGGAGGAAGCCAGAGAACCTGGAGAGAACCCACGCTGCACGGGGAGAACATGGAGACTCCACGCAGAAAGATCCTGGTGCCTCCACCGGGACGCGAACCAGCGACCTTCTTGCTGAGAGGCAACGCTGCTAACCACCGAGCAGCTGCATCTTGCAGCCCTCCAAATTGTTTATCATATATATAACTTTTGTTGTTTTGAAGAAGCTAAAAGGTGGTAATGGACACATTACCACCTTTTGCAATTTGATTAAAGACACAAAGAGCACACTTCCAACATTTCCTTTGCATCTGCATGAGACAGTACACAGTGTATATAGTAACTGACTCACCCTGTGGTGCGTTCACACACAAGCATCCATCCAAGACTTTTTAAAATGATTAATTCTTCTCTTTCATTTGCACATAACTCAGATTATGGACACACACATTTCTGTGGGTTTCCGTTCTTGCACACGAGGTTAGGCGTTTGGCATTTCTCCTGTCGTGTATCAGCACACATCTGCAGCGCTTTTAATCAGATCTTGTTATTGTATTTTGTGTGTGTGTGTGTGTGTGTGTGTGTGTGTGTGTGTTCGTTTATGGAAATGAGGTGCTTCACCCCCTAAAGCACTCGGTCACGGTTACAAATGGATTGTCGTCCCGCTCGGCCTCGCCCTCCCCTGTTGCCTCCCAGAATAAGCCGTGCAAGCTCAATCTGCTGCACCATCCCATTTCATCCCAGCTCCATTCAACTCTGGCAAATACTGGCGTACCGAAATGACACCGGGCGCACGGCGAGGGGAGCGGGTGGGATCTGCTTTAAAATGGAAATGCTGTTCTGGTTCGCCAGGTGCAATAAAGGTGGAGGATTTTTATCTCGGTTGACAGTGGAGCAGTTAATCAAATAGATAGAGAGGCAGCAGTGAGTGTTTACAGGGGCGACGTATTTACCGTAAACCAATGAGCCTGCAGTTTCTCTGATGGCCGCCGTCCAACACTGTTAAACACAGAGTTAAAAAAAAAGGCTGGAAGTTCAAAGGTAATGTCTTGGTTGTCACGCCACAGCTCAGTTTCTCTCTCCCTCTTTTTTAACAGAGATAATGTTTGCATGAGCGAAATGATTTGCTGTTAGATTGTCGTCCACAAAATCCAAGAAACCTCAGGGGCTTTTTTTGTTCTTTTTTTTTTTAAAACAACAACAACAAAAAAGCGCCAGTCTGTAAATGAAGGAAATAGTTCAGAGTTGGATGAACTAGAAAACCGGTGAAGTTTCCACTGAAGTCAAATGAATGTTTTCATTTTGTTCAAAGACCTTCCTCACAGTTTTATTTTCTCACCTACACAAACCAAAATAAATAAATTCAGGTGTTATTAGTGTTTATTAAAATCATTTTTCAACAAACTGAACTGTGTTGACAGCCTGAATGGTTATGCCTAAATGGACCAACGTTAGTGTGAATGTTGTGCAGCTTTTCAGTGTTGCTTCAAACATGACAGGATTTGAATTTTGTTACCAAAGCTGTCTCAGCTTAAATGACAGATCTGTGTCCATGAGCTGCTTGGATCAGTTTGAGGTGTTTCTTCCTTTAAATGCTCAATTAAATGCATTCTGGCTTCTAGAACTCGTCTCTGATCATCTTGCGATGGCTGCTGTTTCTCTACCTGTGCACTGCAGTTACACTGTTGTTGTCCAGCATCGACTGTAAAAAAAACAAACAAGTATGGTCCTGTTATCATAAGTTTAGCATCTCCTCTGTACCTATGCCATGCACCATCTATTCTTTCCATGCGTCAATTCTCTAGAAAAGCAGCAACATCAACTCATACCCCACTTTGTTTTTGTCTGCGGTTTCTCTGTGTACAGCGTGATCGACGTGTCAGCCGTTTATTGTGTTCGATCTGATGTTGTTGTCGACGCTGATTCTTAGAATTACTGTACAAATAGTGAAATTACTAATTACAGACATAATGATGTGCATTGCAATTACAAAACAGAAAAAATACAGTGCAATTAGTAATTATTAATTACTAAAAATCTGTTAGCATAGTTAAGGGCCCAACAACAGAATAGAATAGAATAGAATAGAATAGAATAGAATAGAATAGAATAGAATAGAATAGAATAGAATAGAATAAAATGCTTTTGTTGTCATCATACACATAGTACAATGAAGGTGCAAAGTACAAATATAAATAATAAATATATATTTACAAAAGGAGCCAGTAGGAAGTATATATCGTTTATTCTACCAGACGGTAGAATAAATATATAACACTGTGGAAAAATGAGGAATAGAAATATATAAATAAAAGATTATAAACAATATATATTTAAAAGATAAGATAAGATAAGATAAGATATAGGACTTTTTTTTTAACTGATTAGATCAAATGTGGATCAGAACTGACTAAATCTACTCCCTCTTTGCATATCTGTGGTTTTTTAACCAAAGAGGATGCGAAGGCCTCTGTGGAAGGATTGTATGCACGACTCTGAGCGGTAAATACTTCATTCAGCAGAAACATAAATGGATGCAGGAAGTAGTGTTTGAAACCAAGACAGTGTGATTGTCATAGTTTATGAAATATTTATGAGGATATATGGATTTATTTTTTTTTGTTTTTGTTGTCGAGAGGATTTTCCTTTTCAAACGGTGTGTGGGTGTTGATGTACAGAATATGGGCAGATATAAGCTGATTTCCCCATACGTGCTGGATGTGTGCCATCTGCTGTGTGTTTCAAATGGATCTAAACAGAAAACAAATGCGCCGCTTCATTTGCCATGAAATATTTACGAGCAGTTAGCGGTGGAAGATGACTGATCGATTGGTATTGAGTTACAGGCGGATAAGTGACTCAGAGCAAAACGCCTCGGTATTGATCTGCACTCTTTCTGGAATGGGATTCCTGTCACACGGTAAAGAGTGTTAAGAAGATCGCGTTATCTGTTGCTTTATGTCAACGTGATTCGCTGCCTCACGCTGTCCAGTGTTGGAGATCTACTTCGTGTCTTTATTGATGTACTGAAGGTGAAATTGCAGATTTTCTGCACAAGAGGAACCAAAAGTATGTTAAATCAGTGAAAAATAGCACACAGTTGCACGGATTGTCATTTAATAATTTTTTAAATGTCTGTCTCTGGTGTCCAGCAGAGAGTCGCTGAAGACACTTGGCATCACACCAGAGGAAGGGGAACCTGAGAAGGATCGAGACACCCAGAGATCCCAGGCTCTGTGGCTACATGCTCAGTCGTCTTTGGCTTTAAGGAGAACAACTGTACTAATCAGCAGGAACCATGGATTTTGTAATGAAGCAAGCTTTAGGTGGTAAGTACTCTGCAGCCCTAAATGCTCCTCCTGTGGAAACGAGCTTGAGGCGGTCATGATTTTCCATCTAACCAGCTCACATCCTTCTCAAAAATTAACCAAATCTGAAAGAAGTTCTCACCTGAGCCCCTTGGAATCAGCTGTTCTTGTGCATTTGTTTATTTTTTCATACAATAACTCACATTTTTCTATAACCAACTTTGAGCATCTGTATCTTGGGATCTGTTGTAGTTTTAGTTTAATGCTAGAGCAACACATGACACATTTCAGGGTGCCAGTGCTTGTTTCTGTTTTCTAATAATTCACTGGACAAGTCTTCAAAAGTGCATTCTGACTATATTATAGACAATTGTTTTGGCACAGAAGGAATTGTGCCAAGCAAATGAGTCTGGTATCAAAATGCTGGTAGACCTGAGACCTGCCTGTATAAGTTTAAAGTTTTCTCCTGGTTTACAAAAACACGACTATGACTAATGATCGATTTAAATGTTATATGACTGGAATACAAAGAAAGCAAATGACACGATGAGCTAAATTGTTGTTGTGGGCTCTTCGCTGTATGTCTGGATGCAGGACTTGATGTACGGATAACTAATGTAAAGGTTCATCCAGCCTCAGCAGACGTCTGTGTTCTCTGAGTGGCTTTCTGCTTAAGGGTAAAAATGACCACATTGGATTTAAAGATAAAATCAATTCTGACTCCATTACAAGACACAGTAACTGTCAGGATGAGATGATCGGTTTTGTCCTGACAATAGGATTGCCTTTGCGACGTCTTATTTCTGCCGCTACTTCTCGGTTACTCGTTTCATCTTCTACATTGACTGAGGTTGGACCTATTTGCTAAGAGCCACATAAAAAAGAGCTGTGTAAATGTTCTGGTAGGTGAAGGGCCCCCGGGGGCCCAGAGGTCATGCCTCCTTAAATCAGCCTTCTCATCTAGTTTCATCAGCTCAGTGACCACCAACCAGAATGAAATGAGATTTATTCCTGCACAGCTCAGCCGGCTCCCTCTCCTGCTTCCCCCGGCACTGGCTGATATCTGCTGCTCCTCTCCCACATTCAGCTCTGTGCCATTCCCAGTTTCCATCCAATCGATTGTTCTGTGCTTCTTTTCTCCTCGCTCTCTTGACACATCTCAATCTTTCTTCTATTAAATCTCCTGCTTGTTTACTTCATTTCTCACCTGTGTTTTTTTTTTTTTTGTTGCCTTTCTTTCCCTCGAGTGACCGACAGCGTCGACAGCTTCATAAGTTGCTTCTGGTGCTCAGAAATCACCTACAATCACATATTCCAGGGAAAAATGTAAATGTACGCTACAGTCATGACACAGTTTGAAGAGGATTTTATTAAATATCCTCACAATGACTGAGAATGAATGTTCATTCTTTCTTTAAATAGAACCAGGACGTGGAAATACGGAACAGATCATTGAAACTTAACATTGTGATGCCATATTTGAAGTTTTTCAGACCTCTACATCATCAGTGTGACTTTTTCTTTTCTTGAAAACCTGATGTATACAATTGGACACGTTCAGTGCACAGACAATCTACCATCCATCACTGATTCATGCACCAAAAATTCTACAAATTAAAAATCATATATGCAGATTTTTATTTCTTTTTTTTTTTTTTTCAATGTTGAGTAAACACTCCCGTGTTAAAAAATGTGAATTTTCTGGCAATTATTTCATGGTTCAGGGGGTTCAATGCCTATTTACCTACATTCAAAGCTTTTAACCACCTGCCACGGTTTCCACGCCGGTGACAGCTGCCGACTGCTTTTCTCTGTGCTGTCAGTTAGAGAAGCAGAGACTCTTGTTCCTGAAGGCAGCAGTTCAGCTTCATTTAAAGCTTGACAGTAAAACTGCCTGTTTAGAACAACCAGGAGTTATGAACATAATATATAATAGTAATATGAGTTAATGAAGCATCTTTGCACTGCTTTCATTGATTTGCTAAAAAAAGGAAAGAAAAAAGAAAAAAGGGGCCCAATATGTGACCTTCAAAATGTGCCTGACTGAACTGTATTTGGGGTTTTGTTAGTGCGGTCAGCTAATAAAAGAACGGTATCATTTGAACAAATAAAATGAACGGAAGAAACAAATCAGTCTGAACACTGTTGGCTCACTCTGTCTCTGTCTTTATCCATCAGTCAGGCCTCCTTCAGAGCTCCAGCGCCCTCTCTGCTCTCCATCCCTTTGTCTTTTCCCATTCACCCATTCATACCCTCCTGCAGACACTTTGCTGTTCACTCTCCTTCATAATTTGTCTTTTTATTCACTTTTTTCTGTGATTCCTGCAGTCAGTCCAGGCTGTAGCTGGACTCCTGGATTCGTCCTCCTTGCTTCATGCAGCAGAGCAGAGCACGCTCCCACCTCCCTCTGTGCATGTTAAAGGCTACATATAGAGGTTTACCCCCCCTCCCCCCAAAATCCATCCTGAGTTGAAGTCTTGTAATTTACCTCCCGTAGAGGTGCTGTCTACTGCAGTGACCTTTTCTCCAGGAGCAGACTGGCATTTATTTCATTGAGACGCAGCTGGCCATCCATGAATATATACAAGCAGCCACACAAACACAAAAACACAGAAATGGAATTCATACACCGAGAAAAGCGCACACAGACGAGGTTTCAGTCACGATTTTCGTCCTGAGGGGAAAGAGACCATTTTGAGATGAAGTGAGCTGCAGCCGGTGGGAGCGTTGCTGAGGTGGGCGTGTTAGGACATCAATCTAACGGCAGCCCTGCAGTATTTCTCATGCATAGAAACGACTTTGACGGTGCAACAAAATTGATTTTCGCATTTGTTCTTTGTAACACTTAATTTTAATTAATGGGAGAAGAGGAGCTTTGTTGAAGAAAGAAACAGCTTAAACCTCAATTTAAAATCACCGAAGTTCTCTTTCTGTGCTTCAGATTTAGCTCTAAATTTAGATATAAACATAAAAACACAGTCTGATTTAATTTAGGTACAAAATACACGTACAAAAAAAACAGAATATTGCATTTTGTCCTATTTAGATTCTGATGTAATTCAGCTCAACACACAGACATTCAGGCAGAGCCTCACTAATGTCATTAGCTGTTGGGCCCTTCCTCAACCTTTCGTTGGTGTGGACAGAAGTATAGATTTCCCCTGCGGGCCTCGGTTGGTATTTGCTGGTTGTTTAATTACAAATCAGATTTCCACGTTGCGTTGGATTAATCAGGCCAGGACAGCGTGGTCGATCGCGCTGCAGCTCATTCTCAGTCAAACCTTGTGCAACACTTGAATATCTTGAACTCATGAACATCCTGCTAATGTTCCACTGATCCAACATGTGTAGTTCATGACCACACTTCTGATACTAACTCACATCATCCGCACTATGCTTTAGGATTGTTAAAAATCTAGCAGGCTAACAGTTTAATTCATTCATTTGGTGCCACCACAGTTTAAACAAACCTGCTGCTCAGACAGAAACATCATGAAGAACAGGTAACTAGTTCAGGCTGACCAGAAGCAGACTGAGAGAAGCATGCCTAGTGTTCATTTGACAAAAATATTGTTGGAGTTTCCAGAAACAGGTTATTAATTTTATACCTGCAGTGTTGAACTATAGTTTCCTGGTGGTGAGAGTAATTATTCAAACACTGTCAATGCATATCATGTGTTCCTTTCCAATGGTTGCTTCCTGTTCAGACTGTAATGCTTCCTCTGATGTTTCTGTTTCATCTGGAAACCTTTCTGGGGCACTTCCAACATTGCTCCCCTGTAGGCTTCCCCAGTCCTCATATTTGCTGAGGCCTACTTCGTCTCTGTCACTGTAATTGCTTCCCCCTTCACCTGGCTGATGTAAAATGCATCGCTGCCGGTACACCTTTGCAAGAAGCCAGATTTGGAACGCCATTGTTATGTGAAACACAGATAAAAGTGCCTCGTGCCAGCAGGTTTAATCAGCTTTGTGTGAACTTGTTTCGTTGAGGGTAATGAACAATCTTTTATATGTGAAAGTACTGCACTGCTTTAAGGTGAATACATATTGGTCCAGAGGATATTTGAAACCTGCCATGAACACAAGTGATAAGATGCAATCACAGAGTCCCTCCACAGCCACCACAGCATCGGTTGTGTTCCCAATATGTGCTTCCTGTGTCTTCTGCCTTTGTCTGGCTATCAGGTGTGTGAAGAGTTCACCTTTTCTCATAAAGAAGCCCAAATGAAAGATGCTGAGATAATCTCTGTTACATCACTGTGAACCCATCCTCACCAGGCGGGCCCAGCTCGCTGTTTCATTTCCGGTGCAGGCGTGGTGAAGATGAGCAGGTGAACATGCGGCAATAACAGGAAGCCACAGGCTGACTGGATGAGTGAACACACAGAACCAGAGTGTGTGGTGCTCGAGGGCACTTCAGCAGGACGTGTGTGCCTCTGATTGGAGATCCCACCGGTGACCGTCCAGCACGAGGACAAGCTGTTCTGCTGCCCAGACATCTGATCGATGTAACAGATCGAGAAACAGGTTTCTCACCCGGTCCAGGCACTCATGTGACTTATGAGGGCGTAATTTGGAGACGGAGGTGATCCATTATTTAAATGAGCTCCATTTTTCAAACGCCTCCACCCCTGACAAATTATCCAGCAGCGCTGCCATCCATCTGACTGGCTGGAGGAGAAGGAGCCAGTGGCGCATGACTCGTCTCTCTGACTTGGTCTGTCTTCTGTTCTCCTCTGAACCATTCTCACGTTCTCATTTCACAGCTCAGGCTTCTTCCTTTCTGTCTTCTCCTCTTTACTCTGTACACCTGTTCTTCCCAGAGATGCTTCCAAGAAGTTCTGTAAAAGACACTCTTGGAAAATTTGAATTCAGTTTTAATAAATGAGCCTTTTTGTAACAGAGTGGATTTAACACAGATTGAGGCTCTTTCTCTGAAGATGCTGGTCGGTGTTTGGTGTTGTCTGGTGAAGGAGTGATGTGAAATTACTGTTGTATTAAATGTTGACATAAAAACAACT